TACTAGTTGTTAATATTTTGTTGCCAAGTGTATGAACAACCAAACAAAACAATAACAAAATTATCAAAAAAAAAAAACTTTATTAGTTGCAAGAAGTTGCACCACTATAGCCCTCACAACCCTATCAGGGGAGAGGGCAAAGCCACGCGCAAAATTAAATAACAAAAGCGCGGCAATGGGCTAGAGAAGACTATTGTATATAATACTTAACACCGGCCGGTGCCGGCTGTGTGAGTTGGTGCAGCCACTCCGTTTGCTCCTTTGTTTTTGTTGCTTGCTGCTTTGGAGTGGTGATGAGATGATGACGGTGAGATGATAGTCCACCTATAGCGTCGCTAAAGGTGGCTGCTTCCTCTGCTGACTGCGATTGCCTTGGGCACTGAACTTCGTCCACGGTAGGTAAAACGCGCGATATAAAAAAACCACTATGATGGAAAAAAAAACTCCACCGGCTACGAAACCAATACCCGCAACGGAGACACGAACAAACTACGTCCGGCTACTTCAAGCTATCGGCGAGGAATGATCAATTTTGATTTAATGAAAAATATACGAAGCATGCAGCATATGCGTTGATATAATTTCATGTACGAATTCTTTGTAATTTTTGAATTTCGTTCCATAAAACATGGCAAGACAACCATAATAACGGCAGTGCTGGGGGGCCATATTATTTGCTTTCGAAGTTTGAACTTTTCTTCCTATCATCTTGAGTTGAAAAAAAAAATAATGCGTTTGAAAAAAAATCAGAAGAAAATAAAATAAAGTTATGGAATCTACATTTCGCCACAAAAAAAAAAATTAAATGTTAATACGGTGATCAAGGGCCAAATTGATCACCGAGGTAAAATTGGTTGCTTGGTGAAGAAATCTTGATAGCATTCCATTATGAGACTCCAATGGTAGCTTTACAAACGCATTTAATATCATTTTTCACACATTCAAACCATAGGGTTCCATTGTTGTCCTTCACTTGAAAGTAACATTTTTCATTGAACAAAGTGTTAATCAATCTATTTTTTTAAACATAAATAGTGATGTGTTGAGTTGTTTAGTGAACTTCTCGTGCATTTTCTTGATATTGATTTAAAATGCAGTAGAAGTAACCTATTATTTCGTTTCTATGTACATATTTTAGTTTTCATACTATAATTTACTATAATTTATGGTATGGTGTTCGCGAGTGCAGGTCAATGGAAATGGAAAAGAGTGCTCACTTTACTCGCTGTGGGATTTTTTTTCAATACAAATTGATTTTTTTTTCCTCTAGGTAAAACTATTTTTTTATGTAGTATTCCATTAGTGAAACTTTAAATTAATATTAAAGATAAGATATCAAAAAAAACTACAGTATGTTTACTTTAATAAGAACCAAATAAGGCCGGAATGAATCACAAGTTTTTCTTATGTCACTTGATGCTCGCACCAGTCAAGGGTGGGGGGAATATAAAATAAACAAAACAAAACATTAAAAATTCGTTTTACATCACATCTAAACCGTATATTTCAAGCGTTTACATTATATTACTTCTTTGAAGCCGTGAGTTTTGACAATAATGCATAACAAAAGTCAAAAATGTTGACTTTATTATGTGCAACACTCGGGTTATCAACAAGATTTTTGGGTTTTGATAAATTCCGGGTAAACCATTAAGCGGAAAATCACCAACGTAATAGTTCTTATTAAAAAAAACGTTCTATTTTCATTAGTTCCTCCTTATTCAAATATTACATGGCAGAACAGGAAACCCAAATTGTTATGAAAATACCTACTTTGTGAATTAATTTAAACTTACTTTTCTCAACAATTGCGCGTGCTTCACAAAAATTAACTAGACGTATGGATTCAAGAAGGTCTATTCAACTAAATCCAAGCCTAATATTCAGAGGAAGGAACCAAAATCCATGTTGGCTGAATATAAAATCCAAATTTTAACAAAAATTCGTACTTTTGTCAATTTAAACCTGGCTTTGTGTGTGCTTAAAAAAGTAATCATCACGTATGAATTCAACAAGGACCATAACTTTCAAAGGACCATTTTTTTTAACCAAATTTCTAAAAATATACTTTTCAAATTACAAACCCTGATCAACCTTCACATATGGATTCAGCAAGGACCATTCAATAAAATACAAGCTTATTTTGTAAAGATATGAGCCGAAATGCAATTTGGCAGAACCGAAAAACCAAATTTCTATGATTCAGCAATTCTTCAAAATCCACGACAATTTTCAAAGGAAGACGCCGAAATTCAACTTGGCTGAACAGGAAACACAAATTTCTATAAAAATATGTACTTTTCAGGATTTAAACCCAGTTTTCTAAAAAATTGTGCATGCTTCAAAAAGTCTACCATCACGTATGGAGTAAGGTCCAGCCTTTAAAATCTATGCCTATTTTTCAAAGGACGGAGCCAAAATCCAACTTGGCTGAATAGGAAACCCACACTTCCATCAAAATAAGTATTTTTGTGAATTTAAATTCGGTTTTCACAAAAATTAAAAAAAAAACCAGAAGTATGGATTCAACAAGGTCCATTCTTTAAAATCCAAGTCTATTTTTCAAATATCGGAGCCAAAATTCAACTTGGCAGAACAGAAAATCAAAGTTTCTATGAAAATACGTACCTTTGTGAATTTAATCCCTGTTTTCTCATAAATCGAGAAATTCGACCCTCACGTATGGACTCAGCAAGTTCTATTTCTATTAAATACAAGCCAGTTCGGCAAAACAGAAAAATCAAATTTCTTTGAAAATACCTACTTTTGTGGATATTAACCAGGTTGGCCCTTCACGTACGGATTCAGCAAGTTCTATTCTATAAAATCAAATCACAAATTTCCAACGGTAGACCTGAAACCCAACCTGGCTTCAAAAAAATATACCATCACGTATGAACTCACAAAGGTCTATTCTATAAAATCCAAGCCTGTTTTTCAAATGACGGAGCGAAAATCCAACTTGGCTGATCAAGAAACCCAAATTTCTATAAAAATACGTACTTTTGTGGATGTAAACCCAGTTTTCTCAACAATTGTGCTTACTTAAAAAAATCTACCATCAAGTATGAACACATGAAGATCCAGTCTTTAAAATCTCAGCCTAATTTTCTAAGGATATGAATCTCACAAGAGCGAGGAAGGCGTCTAGGAGAGCGAAATCTATGTTAAAAGTTAGTTAAATCACTTCAGGAAAGCTCAGACTAACATTAAATATAATTCAATCACTCAACAGAAATGTTTGGACTCCCTAAGGAAGGTATTGAACCACTTCCGAAAAAATTGGACTCCGTTTGTAAAATTTAATCTCAAAAAAGTGTCGGTTCACTTCGGAAAACTTGTGTAGACTTAAACAAGATTGTGTCCTTGCCAAATGCCACAGCAGTTAACAAAAATTTGGAGCTCACTTAGGAAAATTTCAAACCCGTTTGGTCAAAGTTTTGATTCAGTTCGGAAAAAGTTCAATCAATGCAGGAAACCTTGGATTCATTCAGGAAAAAAATTGAATCAGCTAATGTGGCCTCACTCCAGAAAATGCGAAACCAATTCTTTAAAGCTTAGGTTCGGGATATGTTGGATCACTTCAGGAAAGGTTTGACAACTTTAAGAAGGATTGAATAACATAACAGAAAGGTTTAGACTCAGTTAGAAAAATGTTATCTCAATTAGGAATTTCCTGAATCGTTTCTGGTTTGGTCTCACTTTTAAAACTTTTAAACCAATTTTGAACAGATTGGATTTAGCTCGGTAATTGTTGATTTTTTTTTTTAGATCGAATGCGAAAATTGGGTGACTACGGTGGGCTGGGCACATTGTAACAATGTCGGATAACGACCCAATGAAAATAGTTCTTGGTAGCAAACCTGACTGAAACAAGACGAAGATTTGCGCAGAGAACAAGGGGTATCAATCAGATTGAAGGTGGCTTGCTCTAAACTACTGTTGGTACACAGTCAGTTTTTAACTTAATAAGTTCAAATTGTGGGATGAAGATCAGGACCTGATTTGAAACCGTTTAAGCATTACGGAGCGATAATATTAAATTATGCATCGCTCTACTAAGCCTATACTAAGCATTGTTGAAAGCACCATGTACACTTAATTTTAGAAAATGTCCTCATCAATCCTGGACATCAATCACAGCAAAGCTGGGTGATTCATATTACATGTTGGCATTAATTTAACCGATTCTTCCCTAAGATGATACGTTTGGCTACTAGCAACCATTTTACGAATTCCCCTCTTAGTGTTCATTTTAAGGTCTTAAGATTTTCTTTAAGTCTTCTATTATTGTCTCAATTCCTGAGAAAGACTTACTGCAAATTCACCTTTAAAAGTTGAAATGCCAAAGCCAACTAAATCTATAAATTTGTGTGGATCAAATCCTCGATCATTTAGAGAATCATTCAACTATCACCCGTAGTGTTATTTTGTTCACGCAATTCACCTGTTACCAAATTTAGACCATTTTGTTATGGAACAGCCTCGTCTAATCGACGAGAACAATAAAGTCACGGTAGATTGCATGCACATCCTGTTATGATAGAAGCGGAAACTTCCTATCTTTAGCGTCTGGTTGCACTGCTCTAAACTAGACCCTGTACCTATAGCTGCTGTTGTAGTTGATTCTTTCATACGAATGACGATAGATTAGCACTGCCTAAAAATAACACGCACACATCCTATTATCATCCCAAAATCAGCAAGGGGACTGAGTCGTATTTTTCCATCGCACTGGGCTTACTAAATAATTGCGACAGGAACATCTGTTTATGTCAGAGATACCAGTTATTGTGTTTGTCATTTTGTTTTGGCTTTATGTTTGAAACAGTTCAAAATTTAACCTAAATTTCGAGTAGCGATAGATTGATTGAATGACCGCAATAAATGGACGATTTAATCTTAGCTTATCGTGATTTCCAAATCCTCCGTCAATCAATCACTGACTGATGTCCGTTATCGTGCCCGCTAATACGATTTGTTTTGGTACCTATTTGCAGACACGAAGACTGAGCTACAGTCGCCATGCAGTGGACGACCGAGACTTGTCAACTCAGGTAATTGCGAGGAACTACTGTTTTTGATATTTTAATAATGGATCTTCTCGCGACTTTCAGCAGGTTAACTACAAGATGCAGATGAACATCCGTCGGATGATCAGTGAGAAGAAACACAAGCGAAGTAAGCGTGTCAAGGTAAGACGAATATCTCTTCATCGGAACAATGGGCCGCTGGTGTAACGATCTTTTCTCCATTTCAAAGGACGGCAAACAGCAAAATCACGTGTCGTTCCCCGAGCTCCCGCTGAACGGATCCGCCAAACAGTTTGCCAACGGTACGAATGATATCGTTATGACTAATGATACAATTACGATTACTAACCACCATCCACCACCACAACCACCTAACAATATCAATCGCAAAAAAAGTAAAAGAAAATACTCTCAGAGCCTTAGCAAATATCGTAGATTAGAAATAGGTAATGAAGCGTCAGATCAATTCAATTCTTCATTTCTTTCCTTCTCTCTTGGTCTACTTTCCTACTTCCGTTTTCTGACGGAGTTAAGTCTCTGCTATCTCGATGAGCCGTTTTCTGAACTTTCTATGTTTATAGAATTTATCGTTTCGTTGCGTTGGAACATTTTCTCCAACTAAGTTGTATTTTGTGCTATCTAAACATAGTTGTTTAAAAAATGTAATCCTTCAGTTTACTGTTGCATGCCTTGTGATTATTGTTAGTATTTGTACACTCTTTGTAACAGCGGGATAAAACCTTTTTTTTTCATTTTTAAATAGGATTTTTGTTTTGTATTCTTCAAACCTCTTAGGGTACTCAGGAGCCTCAGTCTGAGAGTTATTTTGATCAATGATCATTATTCATCGCCATATGGTTTCATCTAAACAAACTAGCTCAAACAAAACCTGAAAATAGCTGCCTAACTTTAATTTCATTATAAAATAAGTAACATCATCAATGTTGTGTGATTTCCAAGAAAATACTGAAACTATCTGATGATCGAAGAACTTTAAATCTTTAAGTTTATTGAGTTTTGGCAGATCTCAAAATTTCAATCCTTGTTTTTAAGATCTTCAACAAAACTCTGTGATCTCCATCTGAAAAAAAAGATCCAATGTTTGACAAAACTTAGGAGAAACTCAGGAGTCTTAGTAAAGCAATCTACATTCATTATGTTGCTGTGTTCAGCGAAATTACTTATTTAATTTAGGGTCACTTAATTCGAATTTGAAATCAGATTTCTTTCAAATGAACGATTTCATACCATGATTTAGGTTCAGGGAAATTTCGCTCATTTATAGTCATAATCAGGACATTACAATATCAGCTTCAATCGACAAAATCGATGCGACGTAGAGACAGCCAGCTTTATTTTCCTGTGGAAGTCGAGCAGCTTCACATCATTCTAGCACCTCAGTCGGCGTCTATAAACAAATTTTCAATCGTTTGTCTCTCGCTCTCCCGTCGCTTCATTCGTCTCTTTTCAAGCTTCGGTGATGCGGACAGCTTCGATCTGTTCGTCTTTCATGAATCACATCATCCGAAGTTTCATGACGTAGGTATATGACCGAAAATGAAAATATATATTTAAAGCATTTCTCTCATGTGAAAAAAAACTAGAAGATAACACGTAACACATTTAATTTATCTTCCATCCACATATTTATTTAAAAAAAAGTAACGAAACCGGGACATAACGCATATTAAATAAATTGAAAGAGCAGTGACAGAGTGTGGGTGAAAGAAATTGAAAGCCAAATTGAGGCTTTGTTTCAAATCGAAAATCGTCGTTACTTTCATTCAAAGGGGTGAGCAAAGCAAGCACGGTAAAATCCACAGCCAGCTTTTCTTTCTAAGCGTGCTTCTTTTTCATATTCGCTGATACACGAAACGAAAATCAATTATTTTATTCATGGGTTTTTCACTTATACATTTTTGCCAAAAGATGAGCCTTATACATTCCATAAGATAAATCACATAGGTCCTATAAGAATGCATAAAAGGTATTTGTGACGGCTTATACATTTCATTTGACATAAATATGATCTTCATTAACTGTTTGCAATGCGTCTGCTTATTAGTTGACTTATACATTTTATGAATAATCAGCTTTAGAAATTTGCCAAATGGTATAAGGAGATTTCTATCCGTGTAGGCTTGCTAGGCATTATAGATATGATGCGTTAAACAAGTTTCACGAAAGAAAAAAAAATCGAGTTCATTTCAAAGCTTCGCAAAAGTAGAGACCTGGCCATATGCCACTAATTTTACTAAAATCCGTCTACTAGGAAAAAAGTTTAAAATCTTGCGTTTTACCTAAATTAATCAAACTTCATACAGACTCTGCCAATAAGGAGCGATTCAAATATGTCCAGTCTTGAGGGGTTCAGGAATTTGTAACAATACGTGCAATAGGTATGGGAAAAAGCGTGAAACAGAGGATGGTACCTTATTGACATTTCTTATAAGAACTCTGATCACTCTCCCTGTTTGTGAACAGAAGTATTTATCATCAGGGCAGATCTCACTATCTAGGTATATAAAAATGAATTTCTGTTTGCCTGTCTGTCTGACCCTTATAGACTCGGAAACTACTGAACCGATCGGCGTGAAAATTTGTATGCAGGGTTTTTTGGGGCAGGGCAGGTTCTTATGATGGTTCGAAACCTCTCCCTCTTTTGTAAGGGGGGGGGGGGGGGGGCTCCCATACAAATGATACATAAATTTCTGCATAACTCGAGAACTAATCAAGAAAATGGAACCAAATTTGGCATGTGGAGGTTATAGGGGTAACCCATTCGCTAGGGGGGGGGGGGGGGGGGCTACGTACAATTAAGCCGGGCACACTCAGCTAGTAAATATATAAAAATGAATTTCTGACCTTTAAAGACTCGGAAACTACTGAACCGATCGGCGTGAAAATTTGTATGCAGGGGTTTTTGGGGCCGGGAAAGTTTCTTATGATGCGTCGAGACCCCTACCCCTTTCGTAAAGTGTGGGGGGGGGGCTCCCATACAATGAAACAGAAATTTCTGAATAACTCGAGAACTAATCAAGCAAATGGAACCAAATGTGGCATGTTGAGGTTTATGAAGACAAGAAATGATTCTATGGTGATTCGAGACCCCTCTCCTCTCTGGTATGTATATACAAGTCAATGTTTGTGAGCATGTATGTTCCAGCATAACTCTGGAACGCCTGGACCGTTTTCCACCAAACTTGGCATACGTATTCCTTGCTATAAGGAGATGGTCATAGGGGGTAGCCCCTTAGATACGAGGGGGAGGGGGCTACGTACAATATAGCATGATTTTTTTTTAAATCGGCACTCAAACTCAACTTCTTCTTCTTGTTCGCATTTCAAGCTTATTGCTTAGCGCATATTAGCTTATTGCGTGCTCTCAACTTAGTTTTCTAAATGCACTTCCACAGTTATTAATTGAGAGCTTTCGATGCCAATACCAATGCATGAATTTGTATATTGTGTGGCAAGCACAATGATACTCTATGCCCAGGGAAGTCGAGAAAATTTCCAACCCGAAAGATTCCCTCGACCGGACTGGGAATCGAACCCGCCGCCTCCGGCTTGGTAATACCGTGCCTTTACTGACTAGGCTATGAGGCCCTACACTCAAGCTAATATTGAATCCCGAGCAAGGCCGGGCACACTCTGCTAGTATATGGATAAATGTAGTTTTTTTTACACATCCAGGATCCATAATCTTTATTCAAGTCCATGATGTTGAACGTTGTTGTCTGTCCGCGACTTTGAAAATTGTTCAAAGATCCAGAATTCTGAAAAAAAAATTCATATCTGAGAAGATCCTTGAAAGTTTTTCAATGTTTGAAATCTTTAACATCTCTCGTAGTCCTCTTAGGCTAGAATTTAAAAAAAAAATCGAAGTTTGAAAATTTAATACCTTTCACATAACCATCCTTGATTTTTCACATTAGTCCTCAAGATGGATCTTTAAGGCATACTTTTATGCAAATTATTTATTTATAATTATTTTATTTATAAAGGCTCAATTGCAATAGCTTTGTGGAGTCGTAATTCATTATGCGTTTTATAGTGTTTCTTTAAAAAAAATGTTAATTGAAGGGGGCAGTTACTCGCCGCTAATTCGAAGTTACGGACTACAATGTAAAACAGATTGGGAAGGGATCAAAGAAAAGATACAAAGGGATGCAATTGACGAGCAAGTGTTCTGAATCTCTCTGGCCAGATGGTTGATGGAAAAATTGCTACGAATCACAAAAAAGGACTTGGGTTTGGACAACGTTGAGAGAATAGACCAGTGAGACAAACTTTGGTACAATAAGTGCACTTAAAAAGTGCTTTTATAGAATATTAGAAAAAGGTTTGGCCCTGCGGTCTTGACAAATTTCGTCGATCTTTTTATTTTTTGGCTTTATTACGTCCCTACAGGGACTTTACGTCGGCTCTCAACTTAGTGCTCTTTGAGCACTTCCACAGTTGTTAATGGAGAACTTTCTTAGGCAGTACAGCTTTTTCATTCCCGGATTTTTTTTATCATCGGACAAAATAGATCTGAAAATTTTATGAATACCCACCGGTAGAGTTTATGGTTATATGAACGAAAACAAAATTTCAAAAAAATTGGGGTGGTTGATTTCCCTGAAAATTTCAGTTGAAGTTTTCAGATTTTCCCGGACATCACACGAACTTTGAAAATTCATAATTAAGGAAGCAAGCATCGTAGATAGAACGCAGCATAGTGAAATGATAAGTAAATTATCTCAGCAATCCATAAAAATGAAATCTGAATAATTTGTTCCTCGAAAATATTTACGGTGGAGTAAAATCGCAAGGGCAATCTGGAAAACCATTTGTCAGGATAAAGGGTGATACGGTCAAAATTTGGTTAAGGGAAAACGCGTGTAAATCGGTGAAATCGTTTATTTAAAAAATCAAATTAAATTTCTTTTTCAAGTTCAATTAGTATAAAATTCAGGAAAAATATTCAGTTAGGCTTCCGCTTTTCCAAATCCGAATTGCCGGGCCTTACGCTTGACCCCTGCCATCAGATTTTGTACAGCCACCTTGTCCACCTTCTTCGCCGCAGAAAGCCAGTTTGCCTTGAACTGCTGCTCGCCCTTAGCAGTTTTTTGGTCTTCTTTAGGTTCCGCTTGACAATAGTCCAGTATTTCTCAATTGGGTGGAGCTCTGGCGTGTTGGGAGGGTTCTTGTCCTTGGGAACCACCTGCACGTTGTTGGCGGCGTACCACTCCATGGCCTTTTTACCGTAATGGCAAGATGCCAAATCCGGCCAAAACAGTACGGAACAACCGTGTTTCTTCAGGAAAGGCAGCAGACGTTTATTCAAACACTCTTTCACGTAAATTTCTTGGTTGACAGTCCCGGAAGCTATGAAAATGCTGCTTTTCAAGCCACAGGTACAGATGGCTTGCCAAACCAGATATTTCTTTGCGAACTTTGACAGTTTCATGTGCTTGAAAACATCTGCTACCTTTCCCCTTTCTTTTGCCGTATAAAACTCCTGTCCCGGAAGCTGCTTGTAGTCGGCTTTGACGTAGGTTTCGTCGTCCATTACCACGCAGTCAAACTTCGTCAGCATCGTCGTGTACAGCCTCCGGGATCGCGCTTTGGCCGTCGTATTTTGTTTATCATCGCGATTTGGAGTCACTACCTTATTGTAAGTCGATAGTCCGGCTCGTTTTTTGGCTCGATGCACGGTTGTAGACGATACACCCAGCTTATTTGCGGCATCTCGGAGAGAGAGGTTAGGGTTTCGCTTGAAACTACCGGCAACTCTCTTTGTCGTCTCAGCGGCTTCCGGTTTTCGATTTCCCCCCGATCCAGACTTCCTGGCTGTCGACAAACGTTCCCCAAACACTTTAATTACATTTGTAACGGTTGATTTGGCAACTTTTAGCGATTTTGCCAACTTTGCGTGCGAGTAGCTCGGATTTTCGCGATGCGCGAGCAAAATTTTGATACGCTGCTCTTCTTGCTTGGACGGCATTTTGACAACTGAAGAGTGAATTCCAAAATCAAAATAGGAGCAACATTCTACACACACACACCTTCAAAATGAGGGGTGTTCAGGTTTTTTAAATGCAAAATTGAAAGAAATACGTCAAGTTGATATTGACCAAATTTTGACCGTATCACCCTTTATTTGCATATTTCAAACTTAAAATATGCCCAAAAGTGACGGAAAATAATTAATTTTCCCTAAGTATTTCACTCCCTTGCGCCTATAGTTGCGATAGTGTTCCTATAATAGTGGAATCCATAAGAAACCAACGCATTCCACTATTATAGGAACCAAAGTTATCAACTACCACAACTACTGGAACAGTGTTCCTATTAATGGAGGACGATCTTTCTAAAATGTTATGCAATTTTAATACAATGTAATATTTTTCTATCAAAATAGAGGTTGAAAGTTATAGATTGACGTATAACAATTGTGTGCACATCGTATATTTATTTTTGAATTGATAAATTGGCTTAGTACCTCAACTACTGGCTCACCCACCCTATGGATTTTCATAGTATGTGAATTTCGTAAAAATCATAGAAGTTGAACCGAATTGCAAAGTTTTCCGATCCGTTTGTTTTTTGGTCATAACTAAAAACCGGTAAAAGAAGTATTGAAGCATGAAAAAAAAAATAGAATGATATGCACTATCCTGACAATGATTTTCCTTTCCACCATAATTTTTTTCTGGAAAACATTTTTCACATTATATTTTTTATGGATTGCTGAGATACTTTCCTTATCATTTCACTGTACAATGTTCTTTCTAAAATGCTTGGTTCATGAGTTATGAAGTACGTTATGTACGAGAACATCCGAAAGCTTCACCCTAAATTTTAGGAAATGTTGTTTCGTTTATGTGGTCAAAATTTCATAAAATTTTGAGGCTCTTCGACCTAAACCTGTACGATATTAAAAAAAACCTCATTCGTATTATTGTGTGGCAATTAAAATCATACTCTTTGTCCAGGGAAGTCGAAAAAAATGTCGAACCGACAAATTCCTAAACTGGACCGGGAATCGAACCCAGCCACCTACACAGCAAAAAAATAATTTTGATATCACATCAAAGTGGATGCACTACAATCATGTCAAAAATTTCATGTAATTTTTATGACCACATAAATAAACAAATGCAGTAAAAGCAGCGTAATGTCAGTTCATGCATTGTATTAATGATAATTTTGTCCTTTTTAGCAAGTAGTATTACACCATATTTTCAACATGATTGTAGTGCATCCACTTTGACGTGATATCAAAATTAATTTTTTTTGCTGTGTACAGCACGGCCTTCCTCTATTGTTGTGTCTTTACCGACTGAGCTAAGCATGTAAAGATACTTCCAGTTATTTTCGACACACAGTCATATGAAAAAGTTAGCATCTAGCATGACCAACAAAACAGGAAAATTGTTTGTACCTGAGTTATTATCGAAAGAGAAAGTTGATGTCGATCATTATTATAATGGACCTTTTGCATTGTAAAGGTCGATTTGTGCTATTCATACGGACAATGCGTTAGGTGAGCGCGTGGAAATTTGCAATACTTGCTCCTATTGGAGAATCATTTCGTTAAGAGAACTTTGCCTATTATTTAGGTGCTATTTGTTGTCGGTTGTCTAATGTTAAGCTTCATTATTTAATCTGTGCACCTTTTGTTGAAGTGGGTGTCAATTGTCTTTAAATTGTACACTAGTCGTAGTTTGTATTTTCGTTTATTGTTCATAGAGTAGTAACTATTCGTTTTATCACTTACAAATTACTAAACAAATCTTACTAAAAAACGAAACTAGCTCAATCGACCCTATCTAAAGTCACAATCAATTTGTTTTCATTTATGTACCTACTCTAACTGTTCTAGAATACCGAGAACGGCCTGTCCGATGTACTATCTCCATCCTAGATGAATGTGTTCCTAACTTGAATCCAAATTCTACTAGATCAATGTCCAACAATGGCCAGGTCTGCACTTTCTTTTTTGACGTAATGCACCAAAATCCAATCAACATGCAAATGCTCGTGCAGCACCAATTCGTACAAAAAAAAATACTGCAAATTTTCTCGTTTACTTTTTTTGTGACCTAACTCATGCTCCCTCTTCGTGATCGTCGTCGTTCATTCAATCATCAATCGAATCCTCTTTTCATAATCAATCAAATGAGAACAAATTGTTTGAGTGTAAACATTAAACGACACCATTAATCGTCTAATAATCACTGTGAATGGAAAACTAACTGAAATGTCGATGCACCGATGCGCAAATTGATAAAACTCACCCACTGTTCGTCATTACAGACTACATCAACGAAGTTTTGCACGAAGATAACGAGGACGAGGAGAAGATGGCAACTGCTACCGGTGACGACTGGGACGGTGGCGGCTTGACATTCACCGCGAAATCCTCTCGTAAGTATCCAACCTGCTCCTGCGAAGGGCGTCCTTTTTTTGACCTGTTTATTCTATTCGTACACAATTTGTTTTTTTTTTTGTTTATTATTAATTTATTTTACTTCACTGTCTCTTTTACATTACTTATTCATTGTTGATCTGATTATATCGTTAACAATCACTTCTGACCGCTCTGGTCTAGGATATGATCTGTCCAAATCCCAAACTATTTCGTTGAGATTTAACTCAAGACATTCACCTTTGAATTTCTAGAAATACAGCTACAATGTCGTTAGGATAGCGATTTTTGCAAAAAATCAACTAAGTTGTGCGGGGCTTGAACAGATCGATCCAGGTTCAAAATGCCTACTAGAATAGGAAGACGTAAATTTCTGTCATATTATGTTCAAAGTCTCACAGTCGTGTAGAATTAAAAATCATGTTACTACTGTATCATCAATCAGTTTTTCTTTAAGTTAACATCATGATTATGACGGACAATGATAATATTTCCATTCTTACAAATTACCTTTGGATACGCTCTGAAATTGGGTTCTTTAATTTTGAAAAATATATTGGTTACTATACATCATTTGGTAGGGTTTTTTTTTATTTTAATAACTTTATAACTGAGATTTCTAGCCCTTGGCTAGTTCATCTGATCGGATAGGGCTTCGTTTTCTAAACATAACGATATCTTTTTCGATCCCATAGACTTCCATCTCGATTTTTTAATCAAGATTGAAAGCAAACTAATCACTTCGTATTTTGACACAAAACAATCAAGTTGACAGCCCGCTCCCATACAAAGTGCCACCGAGGTGTGCTAAGATGGTGATTTTCGCTAATGAAATCACACGTATTAAAATAATGCTAGTGCTCTAAAATTGATGAAATTTTGAATTTTGATTCCATTTGTAATGCAGATTACTAATATGCAATCACCTAAATACCCCTAATGAACCGAAGAGTCCGAAGAATCCGGAGAGTTTCGAATTTGATCTAGAGAATCCCGACTGTGATCCGGAAAACTATATTCAGAGACTTCCAACTGTAATCCGTAGAATCTCAATTGGGTTCTTTAATTTAAAAAAAAAAAAACAAAATCGTTATTTATACATCATCTGAAAAAGCTTCGTTTTCGGAGCTCTACGAAATGCTTACCGAACCCATAGACTTTCATCTCGATTTTTAAATCAAAATAATCACTTCACTGTTTGACGCTACACTAACAAAATGACAGCTTGCTCCCATACAAAGTCCCACCGCACTAAAATGGTGATTTTTTGCTAATGTAATCAATGAAATTTTTGAACCCTATTTGAATCCGGTTTGGGACCCATATGATTTTTACGGCGATCGGAAGAGATCCAAAAAGTCGAAGGGAAAAAAGGTCGAATATAAAAAAGGTGGAATGAACAGAAGGAATCGACAGAAGGTCGAATACAAAAAAAACGGTCAAATGGACAAAAGGTCGAAATGGACAAATGGTTGAAATAAAAAAAAAGTTCGAATGAACAATAGGTAGAACGGACATAAGGTCGAATGAAATTAAAAGGACAAAAGGTCAAATTACTTTTTTTTTGTGGATAAGACAAATGTAAATTATAAGAGATTTCTGATGCTATGGCAATATGCTATGTAAAGCAAGGAAATCATCACATAACATATGCGGAACATGATCATCAAAAATCGACCCCATTTCAGTTATTTCAAGTGGTATAGAAAGACATCGATCTGTCAAATTGATTATACTAGCTGTAATTTTTTTAGGCTTTATTAGAGAGATGTTTAGCCGTTGGCTAGTTCATCTTTATAATCGCTAGCTGTAAAATGAGAAAGGAAATCAAGGGCGTAGTCAATTCTTTTAAAATATTAATAATTTGGTTTGTAATTCTATGACTAGCACTTTTGAACTTATGTCTTTTTTCGCCGTTAACTATTTACGCCCTTTATGTTTAACTGTATAGCTGGATCTAACAAATTCATCGCCTTGCTTCACACAGAAAAATGTATATTTACGTTTGCATTTAAAAAAGTAGACATTTTTCATCGATATTTTATGAAATTACCTGCCACCCAACTAATAATAAGCTACCATATGTTAACTGTTTACAGCCAAATTTTGAAAGCGGTACGTATTGTTTTTCTGTAGTTATGGCAAAAAGTGGGGACCCTGCACGCGAATACTTGTTTAATTCTTCTAATTCTAAATTTGCGCGGGTATATTTTTTCTATTTTATTTCTGTAATCTTAGAAGAAGAATGAATGTACCATTTTTTCAACTTTTTCTAATTGTTTGGAACCGTTGCATCAACTTTTGAATTCATTTGGATTCGTAGGAGGAAAAATATGACTGTGCTAATTAGAAGTTTACTGCACACATTTTGAAGTCCAGAGAGACGCAGCATAATTTTGCAACAAGTGGCCCGGTTAGAGCTGAAATTATGCAGTGTTTTGAGGTGACCATCGTTCCATTCGAAAGAATTTCGCAAGCAGGACGATAAATCAAATCGAGCGCTTCGATACCTGTAATACCCAAGAATTCAATATATTTTCAAATTAAACATATGTTCGAAACTGGTATCGTAAAAAAAATGAACATAATGCAAAAATGTGTAATATAAACCTGATGAATGTGGGAATTTAAGATAAGGCCAATTCGAACACCACTATTGCTTAAAACTGGCACACTTACCCTAGTTTTATTTCTTAATTTTTCCGAGGTTTTTAAAAAAAAATCGACTTTTTGTTAATGTAAACGTTAATATCCATCAACAGAATATTTTGTTTTGAAACATTCATAAGTTGACTCACTAAAATCACAGCGAAAAATATTACTGATTAATAAAGCTTTTGAATCGCTTCTGACCGTCTTGAAAATCCCAGCTAAAAACTCCTTTGATAAGTTGTAGAGCAAGTCGAAAAAAGAATGGCCGCATTACCTTGATAATATACAAACCACATTTTCAGCAACTCTGTAACTCTTTACTCCTATGGTAAATTCCCATCTCCAAACAACAGTCTTTGCGTGAAACATGGTGGAAATTTCCTTACCCTTTCACTCCTATGAAAATCTCATAAGATACTGTCAAGCTTTGCGTGAAGAGGCGGCGCTTCACTGGTACCATGGTGGAGTGAAGAGGTAAAGGGTGATACGGTCAAAATTTGGTCAAGGGAAAACGCGTGTAAATCGGTGAAATCGTTTATTTAAAAAATCAAATTAAATTTCTTTTTCAAGTTCAATTAGTATAAAATTCAGGAAAAATATTCAGTTAGGCTTCCGCTTTTCCAAATCCGAATTGCCGGGCCTTACGCTTGACCCCTGCCATCAGATTTTGTACAGCCACCTTGTCCACCTTCTTCGCCGCAGAAAGCCAGTTTGCCTTGAACTGCTGCTCGCCCTTAGCAGTTTTTTTGGTCTTCTTTAGGTTCCGCTTGACAATAGCCCAGTATTTCTCAATTGGGCGGAGCTCTGGCGTGTTGGGAGGGTTCTTGTCCTTGGGAACCACCTGCACGTTGTTGGCGGCGTACCACTCCATGGCCTTTTTACCGTAATGGCAAGATGCCAAATCCGGCCAAAACAGTACGGAACAACCGTGTTTCTTCAGGAAAGGCAGCAGACGTTTATTCAAACGCTCTTTCACGTAAATTTCTTGGTTGACAGTCCCGGAAGCTATGAAAATGCTGCTTTTCAAGCTACAGGTACAGATGGCTTGCCAAACCAGATATTTCTTTGCGAACTTTGACAGTTTCATGTGCTTGAAAACATCTGCTACCTTTCCCCTTCCTTTTGCCGTATTAAACTCCTGTCCCGGAAGCTGCTTGTAGTCGGCTTTGACGTAGGTTTCGTCGTCCATTACCACGCAGTCAAACTTCGTCAGCATCGTCGTGTACAGCCTCCGGGATCGCGCTTTGGCCGTCGTATTTTGTTTATCATCGCGATTTGGAGTCACTACCTTCTTGTAAGTCGATAGTCCGGCTCGTTTTTTGGCTCGATGCACGGTTGTAGACGATACACCCAGCTTATTTGTGGCATCTCGGAGAGAGAGGTTAGGGTTTCGCTTAAAACTACCGGCAACTCTCTTTGTCGTCTCAGCGGCTTCCGGTTTTCGATTTCCCCCCGATCCAGACTTCCTGGCTGTCGACAAACGTTCCCCAAACACTTTAATTACATTTGTAACGGTTGATTTGGCAACTTTTAGCGATTTTGCCAACTTTGCGTGCGAGTAGCTCGGATTTTCACGATGCGCGAGCAAAATTTTGATACGCTGCTCTTCTTGCTTGGACGGCATTTTGACAACTGAAGAGTGAATTCCAAAATCAAAATAGGAGCAACATTCTACACACACACACCTTCAAAATGAGGGGTGTTCAGGTTTTTTAAATGCAAAATTGAAAGAAATACGTCAAGTTGATATTGACCAAATTTTGACCGTATCACCCTTTAAGACAAAGTTCTCTAGATTTCATGCACAGATTGACAGATGTTTATGGGATTTTACCATAGGAGTAAAGAGTTGCAATGCAGAGTGGTCAAAAAACGCCAATGCTTACTGAGCATGTAACCATATATCTGCTTCTCTTTAAAGAGAGTCATGTCGCAAACGTAAACAATTACTTTTTCCACGAATTTCTCGAGAATGAAAAACCACTCAAGTAAACCACCACGATGATTATGTAGAGGGAGATTCCCCCTATCTGATAGTATTGCTGGCTTACATGGATTGACTTTGCACTACGAGAAATTTACGAAAAAAAGCCATTGTTTACGTTTTCGACAAAGGTGCTTGTGAAAGTTTAGTATCGATATCATGAAAATCTTATTTTGACAAATCGATGGCCAACTATACCAGTTATACCACTGAGGCAACACAAAAAAGGGGCCAACTTTTAGTCAGTTATTATACATGAAGTTTCACATATGTTATGTGAAATCATTCTTAAGCTTTAAGTAACCTAACTGAATTACTCTACAGTATTTTCTCTGCCTCCCACTTGGAGTTAATTCCTTTTTT